TGGCAAAATTTATAATAGATGTTCACCTACAGTCGGTTTTAGATATTTTGAGTAGCCTGATCTTATTTTTCGGCCATAGGCTTTATTTTAAGTGTTAAAAACCTATATGATATAGAACAGCTATAATAGCCCAATGTGAAAACTCAGCTCAATTTTTAGTATTGTAAAGAGCTTAGCAACAATTTCCATTCAAATGAGCTGTAAATTGTATTTCCAATGTTTACCGTGCTACGTGGTGTTTAGCTTTTGAGGTCAAAATGATTTCCGAATAGTCAAAGATAATTACTCTTTTACACCCATTATCGTAAGATGAAAATTAAATTTTTTGTCATTTAAATTGTGAGTCGGAGACCTCATAAAGTCCATATTTTTCATCATGGTATAATTCAATGACGATTAACAAAATGTTCGGCCCAGTGCTACTTTCAAATATTCGTAATTGTTTTTTCATGTTTCTGTACAATTTCCGACTGAATGAGTCCCAGTTTGAAATTTCGGTATATCCAAAATTTATGTTTCCAACCAATACTCTTCTGACAACACATTAGTTGGGAAAGTGGACTTGCGGGTATCCTGATGTGGGGACTACACTTAAATAGGTGCCTATGCGAACAATTATCTGTAAGATGGTTCTCTTCCCCAGGAGTGAATGTGGTCAAGACCATGATTGGCCCTACTCCGAATTAATTATGAGAAGAAGTTTTCTAACCCCTTAGAAAGAATGATGCCAAATGAGGGCAAAAAAAAAAAAAAAAAATAAACAAGTAAAAAAGTTGTAAGATCGGCCGGGCCGAACTTTAATACCCTACACTATTTGGAACGAATTTGGCAATTCTCAAAAACACTTAAATCCGTTAAAAATTCTGTTAAAATCTTAAAAATACAAAATGTAGCTGTCATATTATGGTCTATACGACGACGTGGACCTGCAAAGGAAACATTTGTCATAAGGCATTACAATATTCAAATGTAGATAAAATCATTAAAGTACCGAAGACGTGGACCTGCACAGACAATTTTCTGTCATAGGCTGTACTATCCATTACGAACTTCAAATACCAAATTTGAAACAATTCCGCTTAAAAATTTCGCAAAAATCATCAAAATATCGAATGTCGGGATGTACCGTTATGTGGGTGCTCTACGAAGACGTGAACCTGCACAGACAATTTCCTGTCTTAGACTGTACTATCCATTACGAACTTCAAATGCAAAATTTCGGTGAATGAATTCGCTAAAATCATCAAAATACCGAATATCGGGAGGTACCGTTATATGGGGACTATACGAAGACGTGGATGGCTGCATGGCCACCAAAAGTCCTGCAGACATAACATACATTTGAATAAATTTTTTTCAATCTACTTCAATTTGTTCGGAAGCTAGAGTGAGTTCCACAGACGGGCGGACATCGCTAAGTCGACTTAGAATTTTATGCTGATCAAGAATATACAATTTGTGGGGTCTAAAATGTGTATTTTGAGGTGTTACAAACGAAATGACAAAACTTAATATACCCTCCATACTATGGTGGAGGGTATTAAACGTGGCGAAGATCCCGAAAATAGCTTATTTCATATGATGGTGATGATCATATTTTGTAAGGATGGTTTTTTCTCAAACTACCAAGATTTGGCGAAATTAGTATGCCTAAATTAGCATGAAAAAAAAAAAAAAATAAATAAATAAAATGGACTTGAATTCGGGTTGTACCCTTTTCCATTTTTTTTTACTAAATGTCTAATTAGCTGTACCCTCTATATTCGGTATTTCCCAATGAATTTTGCATTTTTAGTTGTCATTGGATGGATTATTGTCCTATGAAAGAGGTAGTTCCACGTTTTGAAATGAGTCCCATAACGCTTTGTCGGTCATTTTTATACCCTACACCACAAGGTGGTCAGGGTATTATGTATTTGTGCATTTGTTTATAACATGGAGAAGGAAACGAGGCCCATAGTTACTTTTGAGGATCTCCATAGAATCAATTTCTGAGTTGATTTATGCATGTCAGTCCGTCTGTCCATGTATTCTTGAGAACAAAATGCAGGTTGCATTTATTATCCGATTAAGATGAAATTTTGCACAAATCATTTGTTTGGCCCAAGGACGAACTCTATAGGGTTCGATTTTGCATTTTATTCCGATTTGCATTTTATTGTGCACCATACGTGTAATATCAGCCCGAATAGTATGGAATTTTGCACATACAACCAAATAAAGCCTGTAAATAAGTATGTCAAATTTGATCGAAATCGTTTCAGATATAGATATAGCTCCCGTAGGTTAGGTTAGGTTAGGTTGAAAAAGAGGGGCAAGTAAATGAAATTCTTTAACTGTTTTATATCATTTACCATGATCCGACTAAGGTCTGGTATAGTGTCGCTCCCTAAGAATTGGGCTCTGATATTAGCAAACGCTGGGCATATACAGAGAAAATGTTCCAAAGTTTCGTCGTCTTCCCTGCACGCCCTGCATATGCTGTTATCTGTGCAGCCTATCTTGTATAGATGAGCTTGTAGGCCCAGGTGCCCCGTAAGGATGCCTGTCGGTCTTTGTCAGACTGGCCATGGAGAGATCGTCAATCCCTATCACAAGGAGAGCGCCATCCTCCTTCTCCTCCCTGTGAAAGACTTCCCCTCTCTTCACGTCCAAAGTCTTATTTTGGTTACCAAAGATCTCGAGCATGCGTTCCGTCCCGAGTCTGCTGCCGTATCCCCTGACGTACACCGTCGTTTTAGTTAGGCGAGGGATCTCGCTCCACCTCACCAACTTAAGGCTGCCATTTTCCCAAGGGGGGGCGGCGATGTTAGCAGGAGCAGCGAGATTAAAGAACATTTTATTGTTCTTAATCCCACTGATAGGGATTGGATCTCCACCTTCCAAGATGTGATCCAGGATTTTGCTGTTGACCATTTCCTCTATCTCTTCTAAATGGTCTTCTGATAGGTTGCCTGAGACTTTGTTGGTGTCGATTAATGTGTATTGCATCTCGTCCCTGTTGTGTTTCCTGGCGACGAAGGAGGCTTCGTATCCGTTTCCCCAGCCCGTTTCCTCTTCTGATGAGCGAGGGATTTCTTATCAGAAACCCCAGGCTTGGCAGCCGATTTCACGGTCGGGCTCACCTTTACAGTGCTGGGGCTGCCCTTGTCACCCTCGGGCAAAGGATTCCTGTTACAGTCTCCTTTGTGGGTTCCTTGCCTTAAAATAACTGACGCATCCGTAGGTGGGAAGCTCTTATTCTTCTTCGCCGGCTTCGCATTAATCTGTTCCTCAGGGGACCCGACCCTCTTCCCTGTTTCCGACGGAGTGGGGGGAGTATTTTTAATTTTTTTTCGGAGCGTCCTTCGACTTTGCATTTTTGCTGTTCCGTTGCCTCTTGAGCTTTCGCCGCTGGGCCCCAGACAGCCTTTTAGCCTTAGTTGTGAGCTTCGCTAGGCCGTCGCTCACTTCTTCTATCGTTCCATGCGCCTCCTCCTCATTAGGGATTCGCAGAACGGTAGTATTGTTGCTGCTGTTGTCAGACTCAGAGTCTGAGGCGCTACCTGTCGTTGAAGGTTGGGTCGAGCGTACGCTTCCCCTGAGTTCCTCAGCCTCTTCGTCTATCTTGTTGCCCGAGTTCTGTGTGCTTGTAGCAGTACCTTCGACCGCAGATGCCAAGGCACCCACATCTACGGGAGAGTTCAGGGTGTGACTCGTGGCTGTATCACAAACACCGCCGGTACTGGGTTATTTAGGCCCTGTACCGTAACTTTTTCTTCTTTTTTAACTTCCTCCATGTTTGTTTTTTGTTTTAGGGGAACATCCCCGTAGTCAGTTTTTTGTCCGAGGGAAAAAAAATTCCTGGGACGGGTGATCGCACTGCTCCGCTCCAACCCATTTCGCCATATAGGCGCCCTGGTACGAGCAAAACAGTGCGATCATCCACCGCCCCTCTATCGGCCAGTGGGGACGCGCCTGGTAGGTGAACTGACAAACACCCGCTCCCATATATATTATATATATAATACAGCTCAGAAATATCTTTGCCAAATTTTATTGAGATCGGTTCAGATTTAGATGTAGCTCCCATATATATCTTTATATGATTTCAAATTAATTGTGCACCAAATGGGCAATACAAGTCCGAAATTAAAAGATACAAATGCTTCGGCATATTTAGTCCTTTGAACTTTAAATTATAATTATAATCATAGCCTGCATGATTGAATTCTCTCATTAAAACTTTTAATTGTTATGCGGAGCTCTACTAAATTAGCAAAGTGGTGTAGAGTATCATAAAGTCGGCCCCGCCCGACTTTAGGACTTTCTTTACTGGTTAACATTTAGCGAACAATTTTCATTTCTATTCTCTCTCTCTCTCTCTCTCTCTGTATAATTCCTCATGCATTTTGTAATATTAATATTATTCAATTTATTAATACTGTAACGTCTCAGATTCCTCCGTTTGCTGAGGTTAGCTCACGGTGGCCAGAGTTCGTCACAGAAATTTATTTCTGTCAGCGACGGGAGTAAGGAAAATACGACTCTTTATTAATATGGGATCACCCCGGTTTATTGTTCTTCAGTTCAATTTATTTACAACCGGGATTTACACAGAGTCCTTGGAGTGATCTCGAATATTCGTCCGGCTCCGAGATAAGTGGACTCCTAGCAGCATCCCCGGTTTCTTATCCCAGTGGCTTCGGCAACTCACTGGACTTGACCCAGGTGTTCTTGAGCGGCTTTGACAACTCGCTCTTCCCCTTCCTGGTGGCTTTACTAACTCACTCAGGTATATCGTTGTCCTGGGCTTCTTTCGCTTCGGCGGTCGCGTTTCCAAGATCTTTGGTTTCACTTTACTCACCTGAAGTTGCAAAAATAGGCTGCTTCGTTGATCTAGACTCCTGTTGGCCTAGTGACTCTCAATCGACTGTCCCCCCTGCAACTTTCTACTTTCCTTTTATAATCCGGTGTCAACAACTTGCCGACGTCCTTTAACTGCATACGCAGGCGCATTGTTGCTAGTTGTTTACAAGTTAGCCGCGCAATGCAGTCCCTACGACGTGCATTTTGTTGCTAGTTGTTTACATGTTAGCAACGCATTGCAGTCCCTGCAACGTGCGTTTTGTTGCTAGATGTTTACGCATCACAGTTCCAGAGACTTGCGTATTGTTGCTGGTTGTTTTCGAGCCAGTAACGCATTACCGATCCAACGACGTGCGTTTTGTTGGTAGTTGTTACAAACAAGCAGCGCATTGCAGTCCCTGTAACGTGCGTTTTGTTGCTACTTGTTTACGATTTAGCCACGACGTACGTTTTGTTGCTACTTGATTTGAAGTTAGTATCGACGTGCGTTTTGTTGCTACTTGTTTACAAGTTAGGATCGACGTGCGTTTTGTTGCTACTTGTTTACAAGTTATCATCGACGTGCGTTTTGTTGCTACTTGTTTACGATTTAGCAACGACGTACGCTTTGTTGCTACTTGTTTTCTTAAGTTAGGATCGACGTGCGTTTTGTTGCTACTTGTTTTTCTTATGTTAGGATCGACGTGCGTTTTGTTGCTACTTGTTTTTCCCCCGATAAGCGGTCAGTGGCAACAATCGAAAATAAAGGGAAATATAAGTTTTCTTCCAATTAATCCATAATTGCCATATATTTACTAAAAAAAGGATTCATAAAATATAAATAATTTCCGCTAATTACCGGAACTAGACACGTTTGTGTGACCGGAAACGAGCCTGCGACTTCCGCCATCACACTTCTCCCTCTCCTCGGGTTAATCGAAATCAACGGCTTTTGACGAAAACCTTCCCTTGTCTGTTAATCAGCAGTCTATAGGAGCGTCCACAGACTTCCACGATACGTTTGTACTGTTTACGAGGTACCCGTAACGCCATGCCCATCCGAATGTGTCTCTGCAGTCCCACCTGAACCTCACTGGAAAATTCCTCTCGGCATGAAAACCGGCACCATGAGTTTCTGCCGTCGGGAACCACTACCACGCTACGCATTCTTCTCGGGTCCCCATCGCTACTAGAACCGCTTTCTTCCGCTTCAGACTCTGTCCAATCAGCATACCTTGGTGACGTGCTAAGCTCGGCCTGGTACCCATTGTCCGTACCTTCCCTGACCTCGAGGTCGGAAACTATTTCGTTTCCCTGGGAATTATCCTCTGCTGACGAAGCTTCAGATTGTGAAACGATGCTAGTCGGTATCACTTCTGGGAGGGATTCTTCCTCAAGGGTGATTATTGAAGATCCCGGGGACATTATAGGTGCTGGCAAGGATTCATGCGACGTTACACTTGACAGGGAGTCCTCGTCGAGGATGATAATCGACGATCCCGGCGACATAATCTGCGGTGGCGTAGGGGAATTTGCGGACCCATGTCTCGGCCTGGGGGGTGTGGGCTGGTCATCGGTATTTGGGGCGAATGACCCGTTGACTGGAGGCCACATAAAACCTGGGTTTGCCGCGTTCTCTTCATCCGAAATCTCGATTATATCGAGCGAACTTGGCCGCCGCTGCACTCTAAAGGGACGAACAATAGCCACTGGTCGCGGTACGTCCCCTATGGTCGTTCTTCCCAGCCGGACTGGGTTGGGCTGCGTAACTCCTGGTACACCCTGGCAAATACGTTTGCTGGACGTTGGTGTAACCTCATCTTCCTGGTTCTGCCACTGTTGTTTGTAATAGGCTTTGGTCTTTAGTACAGGCGATCGGTTTGCCATGTTGCCGTCGAGACTCTTTTTTACACCTGAAGAAGAAACAACAGAAAATTTATTAGTGGCCGCCTCCAATACTGGTGCGTTAACGCGTCCAGAAGAGGAAGTCTCTGCCGAAGCGAAAGGTTTCAGTTCACTTAGGTGTGCCCTGCGCACATCGTTTCGTTGTAGACCGCGAACGTTTACAATCACGGGGGAAGTGTAGCTCATCACTTCATAGGGTCCATCATATTTTGGGGCCAACTTTGCTGCAAAGCTTTCAATCGCCTTTGACAAGGGGTGTTGTCGTACCCATACCCAGTCGCCCACAGCGGGTTTCCATTGCCGCCGTCTCAGGTTGTAATATCTCCTCTGCTGTTCTCCGGCTTGACCTATTCGTTGACGAACCATTTTAAAAACGTCGCGGAGTTCTTCCGCTCTTTCCTCAGAGCTTTTCATAGTTGTACCAGTACCATTCGTTACTTCATCGTAGAGAGTGTTTGGTAACCGCGGTTCCCGACATTGTATTATATAGGCAGGACTATGCCCCGTGGTTTCGGATATACACGAATTCATGGCCAAGTTTATCTCTGGAAGAAATTCATCCCATTTATTATGCTGATTCTGACAGACCTGTGCCAGCATCGTCTTAAGAGTCCGGTTCGCCCTCTCCGTTGGGTTCTCCTGTGGACAGTAAGGTGCGGTGAACTGCTGTCGAACTCCAATTTCTCTAAGGTATCTTCCTAATTCGCGACCCGTAAATTGACTACCATTATCCGAGAGAAACACTTTGGGAGTACCGAACCTAGACAAAATCCGCTCTCTAAATGCCTTGATCACGGCACCTGTGGTGGCTTTACGCAACGCCACCAGTTCCACCCATTTTGAAAAACGATCAATAAATACGAGAAGTATCGTGTTGCCATGTTTTGTCCTGGGTAAAGGTCCGACGAAGTCTGCACAAACCATGGACCACGGTTCCTCGGGGATTGTTAGTAACATCTCTCCAGCTGGTGCCAACTGACTAGGCTTGTACTGTTGACAAGAAATGCAACTTCTCACATACCTAGCAATATCCCTCATCATTCCGGGCCAATAGTATCGCTCAGAAACTCGTCTCGCCGTCTTTCTTATCCCAAGGTGGCCTGCGGCTGGCTGGTCATGGTTTTCGCTAAGTACGCGGTTCCGAAGATTGGTGGGTACACACAGCTTCCAAGTATAATTTTCTCCATCACTCGAGTGTCTTGGTATATGGCGGTAGAGCTGGTCCCCAACGACAGCATAATCGGGGAATTTCTTGGGATCCTTGTTGATCTCCTCCAGTTTTAAGCGAATCCAGGGACACACATCCAATGTTTCAGCTACCGCCCTTTGCAACGATTCTACTGGCTGCCTAGACAGGGCGTCGGCGACTACATTTAGACCTCCTTTCCTGTATCGTATAGTGTAGCGATACTGCTGGAGCTCTAGTGCCCATCTCGCCAATCGGCCGGTGGGGTTTTCGATCGAATTCAGCCACTTCAGCGCCAAGTGGTCCGTTAAAACTTGGAACTCGTATCCTTCCAGGTATGGCCGCATCTTTCTGATGCCCCACACAATTGCCAGACACTCCTTTTCAGTTGCGGAATAATTCCTCTCCGCTCCATTCAGAGATCGGCTCGCGTATGCAATGACCCGTTCACCGTCAACAAATTCTTGGGTCAACACTGCCCCAAGACCAACATCACTGGCGTCGGTCTGCAACAGGAACGTTCGACCGAAATCTGGGCATGCCAATACTGGAGCTTGAGTCAACCTAGCTTTGAGTAGTTCGAACACAGTGTGCTGTTCTTCCGTCCATCGCCAGTGTTTACCCTTTTTAAGAGGGATGTCAATGGTTGAGTAAGTGTCGCGAACTCGGGCACAAAACGGCGGTACCAGGACGCCACGCCTATAAATCGTCTCAGCTCTTTGGGGTTCTGCGGCTGTTTCATTTCCATGATCGCGGCAACCTTGTCTGGATCAGTTCGGATGCCGTGCTCGGAGACAATGTGACCCAAGTATCTCGTCTCTTTCTGGAAAAACTGGCACTTGTCAGGGTTAATGCGAAGGTTGGCGGCTCGTAGTCTTCGGAACACCTCCAACAGATTGGCCAAGTGCTCGTCTAGATTTCTTCCGATCACAATTATGTCATCCAGGTATGCAAACGCAAAAGGCTCCAAGTCTGGTCCTATTACGCGATCTAAAGCCCGCTGGAAGGTCGCAGGAGCTGAATGCAGACCAAACGGCATTACCCGCCATTGAAATAATCCTCTTCCTGCAACCGTAAATGCAGTGTACTTCTTGCTGTCCTCCTCCAAAGGAATCTGCCAGTATCCATCCTTAAGGTCAATACTACTGGTGTAGTTTGCCTCTCGAAGTCGGTCCAAAATCGACTGGATTCGAGGTAGGGGATAGGCGTCGGGGTCGGATTTGGCATTAAGGTGACGAAAATCCATACAGAGTCTCCAAGCTCCGTTTTTCTTTCGCGCAAGAGTAATTGGAGAACTGTAAGGACTATGTGATGGTTCAATAAATCCGTTCGCCAATAACTCACTGATTTTGGCATCGATCACTTCTTGCATAGCCGGGTTACGGGCCGCATAACGTAATTTAAATGGACGATCGTCTGTCATGACTATACGGTGCGTTGCGGCCGTAGACGGTCCATGAATATCTCTGAATTTCTGTAGTTCCTGGTCTAAGAAGCTCTGGATCCGTTTTTGCTCCTCTATGGTCGGGGGCTTTGCCGGCACCGAAGCCTCTAGGACGTTCTGGCCGTCCAACGTCCTCTGACACCGTTGATCGGGCATTCCGCAATTACACGAAATGCTGGTGTTCAAATGCTGCTTTGACTCTGATGCTTCTCTAGTCGTTGTAAAAACGCAGGATAGCCCAGCTATCGTCAGGCGAGCCCCGATCTTTGCCAGAAGATCAAGCCCGATGATTAGGTCTTCCGTGGCATCTGGCATGATCAAGAGACGAGCGGGCACAAGTTGACAGCCTAATTCAATAGTTGTTTCGACAGCATGTTCCACATTTCGTTGGGATCCATCTGCCAAAGTCACCAGAGAAGAGCAAGGTATACGTTCGACTCTAAGTACCGCTGCAAGATATTCCTTAATGAACGACGTGGTGGCTCCTGTATCTACCGTTGCAGCGATTTTTCGTCCAGCGATCCCAACGGTGGCCACCAACCTGTTGGGTTCCATGTGGAGTGTCGTGTCTAATTGAGGGGCTCCTTTTCGAACTGCGGACCCGTCTCCCCTCTTTCCTGGCGAGTCCGGTGACCATTTCCCGCTGCTCGTTTCCGACAGCACTCTATGGAACGGATTCCTCTTCGTCCGCACTCCCAGCAGAATAAAATTCCTTCATTTCGACAGCCTGCGGCGAAATGACCGTCTTGTCCGCATCTCCGACACGCCGTTCGTGGATTGATCGGGGACTGGCGGGGTATGTTTGGTGGGCTGTCAGCGGGATCTAAACGCCGGTGTTGTTCCTTGGATGGTGTCATTAACGGTGGTAGACTCTCCAAGTCTTCGGCCATCGATATCAGTTCGTGCAGGCTCTGGAAGTCACACCGCCGGATGTACCACAGGTATTCTGGCAGCGCGTTCTTGAAAATCCGCTCCAACTTTTGCTCCTCGGAGTAGTTGCTGTGTCTCATCATGTTCTGCATTCCGAGCGAGTAATCGCGAAATTTCTCCCTTGGACGCTGGCGCCGTTTCCGAATGTCGTCTTCCAAGCGCTCGAAATAGCGAGTTGGCAGGAAGAACCTCTGGAAATCCTCTCGAAAGTCTGCCCATGTCTGCCATTGACGGTTATTGTTTCTGAACCATACCAGTGCCTTACCCTTCACTATTTCTGGCATCATCTTGGGTAGAATATCAATATGTAGCGCGTACATTCCAGCTAACTCCTCAGCTCTTTCAAGAAATTCTAATGGGTCCTGCTCACCATCAAATCCCAAGTTCCACTTTCGCACTTGATCCGCCACCGCCCGGAAATCGATGCTGGTAGGAGCTCTGATTCGGCCAACCGGGGACGTTGGTCGTGTTGGGCTGTTACCCGGAACCGGAACTGTAACTCCACTGGGGCTCGTAATAGCCAAGCTTGGAGTTCTTTTCGGGGAAAGGCTGGCCTTGCTGTCTTTACTGGACGTATGTTGATCATGGTAGTCCTGGTACCGAAGTAACTTTTCCAACTCCTCTGGTTCATGTTCCTCCCCCAAAAATTTGCCGAATCTCCTTCGAAGCTCGTCTACCGTTCCATTTACGTCGAGGCCAAATTCGGTGAGGTAGTTCCCCAGCTCTTCTTTACGTAGGCTGTAAGCCCAGGTGGTCCGCAGCGTTGTTGACATACCTGTATGCCGATGGTGACCCCCTTTCTTGTTGGTACTGATTTTTTTCCCTTACTCAGGTCCCTGCTCGGGCGCCACTGTAACGTCTCAGATTCCTCCGTTTGCTGAGGTTAGCTCACGGTGGCCAGAGTTCGTCACAGAAATTTATTTCTGTCAGCGACGGGAGTAAGGAAAATACGACTCTTTATTAATATGGGATCACCCCGGTTTATTGTTCTTCAGTTCAATTTATTTACAACCGGGATTTTACACAGAGTCCTTGGAGTGATCTCGAATATTCGTCCGGCTCCGAGATAAGTGGACTCCTAGCAGCATCCCCGGTTTCTTATCCCAGTGGCTTCGGCAACTCACTGGACTTGACCCAGGTGTTCTTGAGCGGCTTTGACAACTCGCTCTTCCCCTTCCTGGTGGCTTTACTAACTCACTCAGGTATATCGTTGTCCTGGGCTTCTTTCGCTTCGGCGGTCGCGTTTCCAAGATCTTTGGTTTCACTTTACTCACCTGAAGTTGCAAAAATAGGCTGCTTCGTTGATCTAGACTCCTGTTGGCCTAGTGACTCTCAATCGACTGTCCCCCCTGCAACTTTCTACTTTCCTTTTATAATCCGGTGTCAACAACTTGCCGACGTCCTTTAACTGCATACGCAGGCGCATTGTTGCTAGTTGTTTACAAGTTAGCCGCGCAATGCAGTCCCTACGACGTGCATTTTGTTGCTAGTTGTTTACATGTTAGCAACGCATTGCAGTCCCTGCAACGTGCGTTTTGTTGCTAGATGTTTACGCATCACAGTTCCAGAGACTTGCGTATTGTTGCTGGTTGTTTTCGAGCCAGTAACGCATTACCGATCCAACGACGTGCGTTTTGTTGGTAGTTGTTACAAACAAGCAGCGCATTGCAGTCCCTGTAACGTGCGTTTTGTTGCTACTTGTTTACGATTTAGCCACGACGTACGTTTTGTTGCTACTTGATTTGAAGTTAGTATCGACGTGCGTTTTGTTGCTACTTGTTTACAAGTTAGGATCGACGTGCGTTTTGTTGCTACTTGTTTACAAGTTATCATCGACGTGCGTTTTGTTGCTACTTGTTTACGATTTAGCAACGACGTACGCTTTGTTGCTACTTGTTTTCTTAAGTTAGGATCGACGTGCGTTTTGTTGCTACTTGTTTTTCTTATGTTAGGATCGACGTGCGTTTTATTGCTACTTGTTTTTCCCCCGATAAGCGGTCAGTGGCAACAATCGAAAATAAAGGGAAATATAAGTTTTCTTCCAATTAATCCATAATTGCCATATATTTACTAAAAAAAGGATTCATAAAATATAAATAATTTCCGCTAATTACCGGAACTAGACACGTTTGTGTGACCGGAAACGAGCCTGCGACTTCCGCCATCACAATACATGAATACAAAAAAAAAAAAAAAAAATAATTACTAAATATGTCACTATTATTCTGAGGTTAATAAAATTAATTTAAAATTTTTTTTTCGTTTAACATTTCCGTTTGACACTTGGCATAACGGTAAGCGATTAATTAATAACCCACGCACTTACTCAGCATTGAACCACCAACAACATCAATGACTAAAGAATGATTAAAATTATTGAACTGTCAAATCCAATGTCACAAGCATAATATTGTTAATTTTATGTTATGCCTTTCTGATAAAATTCCCAGCAAATTAAACGGAAGAAATTATAATTCAACAAAAAAGGAACGGCTATATATGCTGTATAGAAGTCTTTTTAAAATTGTATGTTCCATTACGAACGCCTGACCTTGGGGTATTTTCCGGTACCGACAAGATAATTAAGTTATTTATATCTATATATGAAAGAAAGTTGTGTTAGTTACTACGCTTATATAACGCTAGTGTGATTTCAACGATTCAGACGAATTCGGAATTGTCTCTTGGCAGAAAAAGATGAAATCTAAAAAAATGCGTAAAAGTGTAAAAATGAAAATTTTACTTTTGTTACTCGGGGCAAAGTCATTAAAATTCCAAAAAGTGCAAGAACTTACACTGCAAATATAGAAAAATATAAAATAGGCTCTAAAGAATAGGCTCCAAAGAGCTAAAGAGTTGGTTCGCTTCGCCGAAAGTGGTGAACTGCCGAATTTAGTTTTCTACGATGGGAAAACATTCGTTGTCCAGCAGTTTGTAAACAAACAAAATTATCGTGTTTACTTGCCAAAGAGGTCAGCTGAAAATGTGCACCTTCGGTTGGTAACCAGAACTCAAGCGCCGGCCATGGTGATGGTGTGGGCCTCCATAACAGCCGATAGTCGTATTAATCAACCGTAGCATCAGAATCAATGTCGAATATTGTCGCGAAAATATTCTGTAGGGTGTACTAAAGCCTTGGTCATTCCAATAGAACTCATCAACATCGCACTCAGCACGCGCCAGCCAAGAATGTTTACAACATGAGGTTCCTCGCTTCATTTCCAGCGCACAATGGCCACCAAAATCTCCGGATACCAATCCGTTGGACAATTGTGCCTGGAGAATTTTGGAAAGCAAGGTTGGCACTAAAAAATTAAAAAGTGTCGATCACCTCAAGCAAGCGCTTCGCCGGGAATGGGCCAAAATACCGCGAATGGGCCAAAATACCGCAGAGCAACATTCGGGCAGCGTGTGACGCTTTCATTGGCCGTTTGAACGCCATAATTCATGGCAAAGGTGACCAATTCAAACAAATCTAAACTTATTCTAAAATTTGATACTATTTCCGACATTCTTTGCTTTCATTTAATAAAATTAAAAAAAGGTAAAAATTATGGCGTTTGACTTTGTTCCAGTTTTTTTTTTGGCCTCTTTTTAATTGACAATATCGTTAAATTTTACATGTCTCTTTGTTTATAGTTGTCACTCTTATTTGTCTTTCGGAGTTTAGCACGTTCAGTTCGGAGTTCAACTAGTTCAGAAACTAGACAAAACCCAACCATAAATGAATAATGAACTATTATTAATAAACACAAAACAGAATAATATAAAAACAGTCTGACTAATAAACCTGTAAGGAAAATTCAAAAGTCGGACGGGGCCGACCATGTAAATTTGGGAGAGCTCCCGTAACAAAATAATTTATTTGAAGAGCATATCACCTATTATTATTTGTCTATAGTTGTTATAGTTTTGTTTCAGAGGGAACTAATATATCGGAGGCATATCCAATTCTGAATCGATTTTCACTAAATCTGACGGAGACATTTTAATCTTTTATGCCAAATAACATTTCTATAGAGTGCATGATATTACTTCGAGAAGGATTATATTGAAAATATATCGGAGCCGAGTTGCTGCACCGGAATTCACTCCATTTAAACTGGTATTAGCCATTATTCACACAATAAACTGAGATCGGATTAAGGCATATATGGGAGCTTTATCCAAATCTTAGCCGTTCTCGATAAAATTTGACAAAGGTATGTCTGTGCCCTATAAGATATCTGGTACCAAATATCATTGTTGTCGAATGCATATTTTGAATGTGAAGGACTTTAAACCCCAATATCAGAACCGATTTTCTCCGTATTTGTTGTACTTGCTTCTAGACTAAATTCGGTTGGATGTACCAAAATTCAGTACTATTTGACAGCTATGGGAGCTATATTATAGGGATCGTCCTTGGGCCAAACAAATATTGTTTGCACAATGTTATCTCAATCGGATAATAAATGCGACCTGTTTTTTGTTCACAAGAATACATGGACGGACGGACTGACATGCATAAATCCACATAATACCCTTATCACTGTGGGGTATAAAAATATAGTAGATGTTCGCCCCAAACTAAACTGATATTTAGCATGAAAACCGACATAGAAGAACGTTTTGTTTTCAATGGCAAGTGAATATTTGTTGCTGACAAAAAAACTAAAACATATTGCAATTGTTTACAAATGTTTAACAATATTTTCTAAATTTTGTAAAAACTACATTTAAGTTCAAAGGACTAAATATGCCGAAGCATTTTTTAAATTCGGATATGTGTTGCCCATTTGGTGCACAATTAATTTGAAATCGGATCAATATATATATATATATATATATATATATATATATATATATATATATATATATATATATATATATATATATATATATATATATATATCTATATATATAAATGAAAGTTGTGTTAGTTACTGCGCTTATAACTCCAGAACCGCTGATCTGATTTTAACGATTCATACAAATTCGGAATTGTGTCCTTTCCGAAAAGGATAATATCCAAAAAAATCGCGTAAAAATGTAATATATTAACATTTTCATTTTGACTTTTGAAATGTACAATAGTAATGTTTTATTTTGCATGATTTTTTCCATTTTGACTTACTTTTTTCTAATGTACATTTGTAGTGTTTTTTATATTTTATTTTCGAATTCGAATATTAATACCAATTTATTTAATTGACTTGATTTGTTGAGAACTGAAATTGATGACTGGTTACATGGAAGTGTAGTACCGAATTATGTAGTGGCGAAACAGAATAGATGATATCGAAATAATTTAAAGCGGTCACACCAAAGTTAAAATATAATTACTATTTCAAAATCGTTAAAAAAACACGAAAAAAGAGATCTCATTGCAACAATTCCCAAAACGGGAAAATATCGAAAAAAGTTTCCAATGGAATAGAATTTTAAAATAAAAGTACATTCTATTGACAAACTTTGTAAGAATCTTTAAACAGTTGCTGTAAAAAATCAGCGAACAAGTTGAAGATTTTTCAATTTGTTATTCTTCTTTTGTCAATTTTTTTTCAATTTGTAATATCATATTGAATTCATTGGTTTTTTTTTAACAAAATAAAGAGTAATTTTTCACTATATACAATTTTTCACCAAAAAAAATGAAATAGGTGCGAAATACGGTAATGATGGTAACTGACATCTACCTTTCAACTCCAGGGCCTACATCGTGCTTCAGCTGGAAGATGCGAAATGCAAAAATTTTTGGGAGTACAATCAGTAAAATACCAAATATAAAGGGTGCAAAATAGTAGAGCGAATGGGACTTTTAGTAAGAAAAGGATTTCTATCTGAATTCTTCCTGAATATTTAAGATACCTTAAATCGCTTTTGCAGGTCATGATATCGATAATAAATAACCATCGTATGATTTAAGCCATTTTTGGAGTCTTCGCCACTTTCTTCTATTTTTGGCTCTTATTTGGCATCTTTGTTTCTGAGGGGGTAGAGAATCTCTTCGCATAAAATGTTCGGAGTAGGGCCCATATTGGTCTTGACCACTAAAAAATTGTATTTATGCTACCCTGGGGTAAGGAACCATCGTACAGATAATTGCCACATAGAAATTTATTCATGTAAAGTCCCCACATTGGAGTATCCCCAAGTCCACTTTCACATCTAATGTGTGGTCAGAAAAGAAAACATTGTATTCTATTGAATTTGAAACCCCCAAGAGCATATTGGTTGGGAACGTAGATTTGGGAAATACATCTATATGAAATAAATTGTGAAAACATGAACAAATTACAAAATATAAGAAAGTAGCACGGGACTATGATGAAAAATATGGACTTTATGGGGTCTCCAATTTACAATTTAAATGACAAATAAAATTAGCTCCCATATTACGGTACTGGGTGCAAAATAGTAATTATAATTGACTATTCTGAAATCAGTCTGACCTTAATTATGAGGTGGATAAAACTATTTTTACTTATTTAAATCACGTGATTTTTTTTTCAGTATGACATGCTATGTTGTTCTGCTATATTTTCGATTTGGCCTCCATTTGTCATCTTGGATTATAAGGGGTGAAGAAAGTTTTCAATGTAGGTCGATGTTTCGCATTTTACCATATTTCAAAGCATTTGGCTAAAAATGTGTATTTGGGGGTGAAAATCTTACACAAAAATTTCAACATATCTACAAATTTTAGAATTTTCTCCATGTAATAGAACCCCCTTAAGTCCACCTTTTGGCGGACAAACAAACCGACATGGTTAGGGGGACTTATGAGGACTCTAAGGCACAATCTGAGGTGCTAATGGTTTTAAAAAAGTAATTAACTTTGGCTATTCTTAAATCAATTAGCCCTCAATTATGAGGTGTACAAAGTACAGTAATTTCCATTTGACTAAAAATTAAAAACTAATCGACCAGTACGTGAACATTTATAACATTCATA